AGAAGAAGAAGCAGCAGCTTAGATTTTGGGTCCCCTTCAACCTCCCTGCCCTGTTGCCTTTTCTCTAAATACGAACAACACTAGTGACTACACAAAAGGACCCTCTGACTTTGAAATTATGCAATATGGGCTGAGGTTATGGCTCAGTGGTAGAGCGCTAGCCTAGCATGCACAAGGCACTGGGTTTGATCCTTAGCACCACATAAATGTAAAATAAAGATATTGTGCCCACCTAAAACTAAAAAGAAATAAAAAATTTTAAAAAAGAAATTATGCAATATTGGAAATCTTCCTCCTTTTTCAGCAGATTGTTTTTTCAAGCTCAAACCCTKCACAGAAATATGAGCAATAATTTTTTCCAAGGGTTGCAGATCTACAATATTATCCATTTTCTCGTGGTGGGAAAAAAAAAAAAAAGGTGTTACCTTGATCTCTTGGGAATCTTCCGACCACAGTAGTAGAAGTCTCCTGCTTTTGTTTTAATGTTGGCAATCTTGGGTCTCTGCAAAGCAGAAAGAAAATGTCAACAGGAATTGGTTTCTAATGTCTCATCTTACAGTTTTCAAAAAAATGTCTTTGGTGTTGTTATTTTTTTTTTTCAATAAAGTGCCAACGTACAGCCCTTTGTCTCCTCCCTGTGAAACAGAGTTGTAAAGATTTAAGTGACTTGATCCATGTGCAAAGGTGATTAAAACATCTAGCACAGAGTAAGCTTTCAATACGTAGAAATAATGATGGTTAGGGTAGTGGAAAGTATCAAGTTCATGTTGCTAATTTTTTCTTCATATTCTTTTCTTCTTCTYCTCCTCCTCCCTCTTCTTCTCTCTGCAGTGCTGGGGATTAACTCTGGTTTTTCTCAATTGTCCATTCATATTTAAGAATCAGACCTTATCATCCTCAAAARTCTGCAATGTCCCTGGTAATGAGACATCAATAATGGTGCCCACCCAGCACCAGCGCCCATTCACCCAGTAACTCAYTGAGGTCTGTTTGGTCACCCTACTCTTTTCTGGTAGGCACTATCATTACTCCATTTTGAAGATGAATCTGAGGCACAGAAAGGTTAAGAAATTAACCTGAACTCACACAGTATTATCAGTGAAAAGCTACGTGCCTGAACCATTACACCAGACTCCTCAGTACCTTCAATTTCTTTATTTCTTCTTCTTCTTCTTCCTCCTCTTCTTCTTCGTCTTCGTCTTCTTCTTCTTCTTCTTCCTCTTCTTTTTTTTGGGGGGGTGGGGCAGGTGGAAGGACTGGATATTAAACTCAAGGGCACTTCACCACTGAGCCACATCCCCACCCCTATTTTGTATTTAATTTAGAAACAGGATCTCACTGAATTGCTTAGTGCCTTGCCGTTCTTGAGGCTGGCTTTGAACTCGCTATCCTCCTGCCTCAGCCTCCCAAGCTGCTGGGATTGCAGGTGTGCACTACTGCGCCCGCCCGGCTGTATCTTCAATTTCCCTCCAGCAGGAAATCTTTATTCTTCTCATCTACACAGATTATGCCTCTGTTTTTTATTTTTTCAGCCCTAATTTTCATATTTTGTACTGTACTTAATCTGAAGTTTTATTTATTCATTCAGCAAACATTTGTTATGTTTTRTTGAGAGCCCAGCCTGCTGATTAAAGATTTCAGATGGGAACCACCAAACCACCCTTGCCTAAACAGCTCACCATGGAATGTGACTACTTTGTAAGGATTCTGCCTCGGCTTCCTTCTTCCCTGACTAGAACTTCATCTGCTAGATCCCACAGAGCTGTCTTCCACTACGCTCTCTCTCTCTCCCTGCTACCGCCCCCCCCTCGTTTTTCCCCCTTTTTGATACCAGGGATGTAATCCAGGGGCACTTAACCATTGAATCACATCTCCAGCCTTTTTATTTTTTGAGACAGGATTCCCATTAAATTGCTCAGGGTCTTGCTAAATTGCTGAGGCTGGCCTTGAACTTGCAATCCTCCTGCCTCAGCCTCCTGAGCTGCTGAGGATTACAGGCATGAGCCACCATGCCCAGCTCCTTCTTAAAGAAGATGTTTCAGCATGTTTTCATGAGGCCCCAAGCTGGGCCCCTGCCTATGGTGGGAAGATATACTAGTACAAGACCACCATCTCCAAAGGAGCCCCCTTCATAGCATGAACTTTGTAGATTTCCAGTCCGTTTGAACCATCTCTCTGAAGACAGAAGAAGAGTCTCTCKAGAAGAGGGACTTCAAACAAGTTGTCACAGTCGGGCACCATGATGCACACCTGTATTCCCAGTGGCTCAGGAGGCTGAGGCAGGGGGATTGRAAGTTCAAAACTAGCCTCAGCAACTTAGTGTAAAGACCCTAAGCAACTCAGCAAGACCCTGTCTCTAAATGAAATATAAAAAAGAGCTGGGGATGTGGCTCAGGGGTGAAGCACCCCTAAATTCAATCCCCAGTACTAGGGGGRAAAAAGTTCCCATGCAAGTGCCAAGGGGGGCTAGTGGTGGATGGTTCACCAAGAATTATTTCAAACTATTTCCAAGGATGTTGGAAAATCTTTTTTTAGCAAATTTTTTTTCTTTTTAAAAACTTTTTATTTACAGAAAAATTTAAACATACACAAAAGTAGGCAGTAATTAACCTTCACACGCCCATCCCATACAACTTCTTTTGAATTCTCTTAAATTTAAAAATAGATATGGTAAATAAAGCATTTGGGGTAGCAGTCTGTTGCCAAATCAAATTATAGGATTTCGCAGCTCTTAGGCAATGGAATACTCCCCCTCCCTCCGTTTTCTTTCCTCCTGCCCTAGGGAGGTTTGGATCTTTTTATCTCCTCCTCCTTTTCCTTCTCCTCCTCCTCCTCCTGATTGTCCTCCTCCTCCTGATTGTCCTCCTCCTCCTCCTCCTCCTCTCTCTCATTTTCTCAGTTGCATGCCTGTTATCCCAGAAATCCGGGAGTCTGAGGCAAGAGGATCACAAGCTCAAGGTCAGCCTCCACAACTTAGTGAGCCCCTGTCTCAAAATAAAAAATTAAAAGGGCTGGGGATGTAACTTAGTGGTAGAGCACCCCTGGGTTTAACCCCAGTACTTACTAAATAAATAAATAAAGTATGATATTATGAAGACCATATAACAGAAAAGGGTTATTAATTCATGTTAAATAGTCCCCAGAATATAAAATTGTATGTACACAGCGATGTCAACTGCATGGATATGCATATTTAAAAAGAACTAGAGAGAAAGAGAAAAACACGAAACCAGTTTTTATATCAAGTGGTGTGTTTGTCATTGATTTATATTTCATCTTTAAAAAWTCCTTTAATGCTGTTACAATATGATTTTCACTATAAACAACATTTACAATGGAACTAAAAAATACTGGTGTTCATTAAAGCAATGGCTTCGTGAGGGTAAACGGCACCCAGGGGATACATAATATCTCTGCTCCTTTCTCCCTGAGCCCAGAGCTAGAATCTGCAAAGACTGCTGTTTTTGCCAGGCATCCAGAGCTGAGCTGGGGAGTGGGTGGGCTCCTCGGCTCCTCCACCCTCTTCCCTGCACCCCTGGCATTTGAGAAAAATTTCAGAAAATTTCACACAATTCTACCAACCCACACTTCCACGACCCGAAGCACATTACTGGCCACAGCTGCAGTTTTTAGTGTAGTAAGTCAGAGGTGTACCGGTGCAATCAATCAAGAGTGACTCTACCGTGCCAGCTAACACGTCACCCAGCACTTCCTGTGCACCAGACACTGTCCAGGGCACTTTACCTATATCAACTCATTTAATTTTCAATATCACAGTGTGAGGAAGGGGCTTTTCTCTTGTCCCTATTCCCAGATGAGGAAACTGAGGCACAGAGCATTTAAGTAGCTTGCCTGGGGTGTCACGCCACCCGTGAGGACGTAGAGCCAGGAGCCAAGCCAGGCTGTGTAGCCCCCAAATCACTGGTCATGGTCACCGTAGTGCTGCAGTACCATAGTGCTGCTTTACTAGAAGAAACTAGGAACATTGTGTTATGAACGTCTATTGTTTGGGGCATTCAATGTCCCTCAATTCATTTAATCTTCCTAACAACCCTAGCAGGAAATCATTATAGTCACCATTTTATAGAAGAAGAAATGGAAGCTTGATGAGCTAAGCCATGTAACCAATTAATAAAAGGCACACTTATATCTTAAATCTAGATATTCTAGCTCTAAAGCCTTTACGTACGCACGCGCGCGTGTGCGTGTGTGTGTGTGTGTGTGTGTGTGATTTCTACTAGTAAAACACATCATTGAAAGCATCAAGACATATCTCTAAAAACTGTTTCCATAAATTAATAATCAAATTATTAATTCCCCATGAAAGTAACATTTGTAGCCATTAGTTCTATTCTTTTTAAATTTTTTTTTTGTAGTTGCAGATGGACAGAATGCCTTTTTAAAAAAAAATATTTATTTTTTTTTAGTTGTAGTTAACATGTACTTTTATTTTATTTATTGTATGTGGTGCTGAGGATTGAACCCAGGGCCTTGCACGTGCTAGTCGAGCGCTTTATCGCTGAGCCACAACCCCAGTCTCAGAATGCCTTTATTTTATTTGTTTATTTTATGTGGTGGTAAGGATCAAAACCTGTGCCTCACACATGCTAGGCAAGTGCTCTGCCACTGAGCTACAACCCCAGCCCACAGTAGTTCTATTTTTAAATATTAAAAAAATAAAAAAGCTGGGTGCAGTGACAYACACACCCGAAATCAATTTCACTGATTCAGGAGGCTGAGGCAGGAGGACTACAAGTTCAAGGCCAACCTGGGCAATTTAATGAAACCCTGTCTCAAAATAAAAATTAAAAGGGTTGGGGATGTGGCTCAGGGATGAAGCACTCCTGGATTCAATTCTGGGTACCAAAAAAGACCTTTTCATAAGATTTTTCCAGATGGATTATTTTGTGTGAATTCTGGCTTACTTTCTATATCATATTGAATCGGAAAGTGAATTGCCTATGAAGTATTATATCATATTGTATTATGTTTTGCTATATTTAGCTACAAAATAGCAGGCTAATACTCAGAGACAGAACAATAAATATTCTGTATTCTCATTAAATCATTATGCATAAAATATTATAATTTGTTATTGAAAAATTACCTACCTCTACTAAAACCATTACTAACTGTTCATGGTTTGCCTGCATTTCCACAAGATGTGCAGACCTAAACATGCCAAAATGTCACAAGCTGACAGAGTTATGAGCCTTCAAGAAAGGGAGCTGGGTTCTGCCTCCTGCCCCCCCCACCCCCCCCAACTGTTTTTCTGAGGCTTCTTACCCTTGGACTTGGGGACTCAGGGAGCCCAGGGCTTGGGCAGGCATTTTCTTGAACCAAAACATATTTTCCATTCACTCTAAGTAATTAATAAATTTTGAAAGAAAAAAAAAGCCTATATATGTAGAATCAGACATTTTTACAAACGATATAGCAAACTGGCTGTTATGATCTGCTTGTAGGCAGAAAAAAACCCTTCTGATTTAGAGCTCTTTAAAA